GCTTACAGCTGTAGGTGTCAGTTGAAAGTCTTAGTCTCTGTTCATACCTGCAATGATTGGTGACAAAAAATATTATACTGTCGATTTCGGTCCTACTTAAGTGAAATAAACCAATATAATAACTAAACAACAAAATCTTTGAAGAATTGTTGTCAGTTTGACTTCCATGAACGCCACGTCTTCACGTCTCTGTACATGCCTACACTAACCGATGATAAAGAATATAATATGGCTGACTACGGTCCTTCTCCATTAAAACAAATCAATACAATAATTAAATAACTATTATTATTATTATTATTATTATTATGTTAGAGAATGTGAATGTGTTAGAGATTTTTGAAAATCCAACTTTAAATTTTTTACACATTTATTGCACAAATACGCCTAACAAAATCTCCATTTTGTCCAGAGTTGCTATCAAAAGTAATATTTATTTTATTAGTTCTTTTGTGACATGCTTACAAAAGAAAACGCCTAATGTGTCATTATATAAACTAATTTTCTAAATTATTTATATAATTTTTCTTTGTGTCTTCTTCTTCTTCTTCTTGAGTTAGTGCTATTACGCACTTTTACTCTATAATGGCTGGGGGGCTTATCTGTACCCCACACTAGGCTTTAACTAGGCTAAAAAAAAATCATATCATTTATTTGTCTTTTAGTTGATGACGGACCTTAAATCAGCATATCTTCCTGAGAGTACAGAAGTGGACTTGAGGATTGTAAGGGCGGGGTTAATTAGCGTATCAACTTTAGTGAATAAGTTTAGAGCTCTGTCTCTGATTTATTTTTTCACTGAGTCAATCCTAATATACCATGGAATCTTAAACAGTTTTCTTAAAGCCAAATATCAAATATTAGTTTCACTTAAATAAATAACAATAAAATTTAATTAAAAAAAAAAACTATTTTCTTAAGAATTCAAAGGTGCAATTATTTTATCTCAAGACATTCATATTTTAACAGCCTTACACCATATTTTCAAAGAAGTTTTCTTTTTTGCTTTTAGAAGAAAGAAATATTCTTTCTTACCTACATATTTGATATGTCCTTTGGCAAGTTGCTGCTTATTAACAAGTCGAATGATAAGTACGCCTTCCAACCAAATGTTGCATTCATCATATTAAGCAACAGCAACAACAATAACAACAACAACAATAACAAAACAAACATTTTACGAATACACTTAGGAAGTAGCGGCAGTAACATCATCAGCCATGACGACAAACAATAAAAACAGCCACTAAAGTGTAAATATATAAAATTTTCCTCTATATAGCAAATTGTTAAGTAGCACATAAATGCTTATATAAATATTATCTCACGGCTGCATTGATGTCGGCATCTCTTTGAAGAACCAACATTATAGTATGTGGCACACTATTTTTATGTTTGTACACTTGAATGTAAACATTATCAAGACACTTACAGGCAATGACAGCAACTAAAATGCTGTTATTTTTATGCTTTGATGCTTTGATTGTTGTACACTTTATGCAACTTCCGACGGAAGTGCACTCTTCAGCAACACTTCGATTTATTGCTTTTTTTTTTACTTTTTAAGAATTCAAAAGAAAGTTTACTTTATAGAAAATTTTTTTCCAATTTTTTAATTATTATTAATATTGTGCTACAGAAAATAAAAAGCTTTTAAAATTAAAATTAAATAAATTTAGGAAATTTTTAAATTAAAATGAACAATATTAATCAAATAATTTAAATATTATAATCACAAAAAAAAATAAAACATATTTTTAATTAAACATTTTGCACTTCATACCTGCAATATGCCCAACACTGCGTATGAGTGACTTTTCTTTTTTATGGAAACTTACTACACACAACAACTGATCAGAATTGAAGCTTAAGAAGGTTAAAAAGCTTTAAGAATTCTTACATTCTGTACTATAATGAACTATTTAAGTTATGCTTTGGTTATAAGTGGGTTTGTGGGTGTTTAAGTGCTACCATTTCCCACTCATTATTTCGTGTTGTGGAAATGTGTTTCTCTTATCTAAAGCACTTCCGTGATTTATCTTGCTTTTGCACATATGCATTTTTTGCAGTTCTTGTTCATATATTTTTTTTCACATTTTGAATGCGTTTAAATTTATTGCTTTTTAAATTTATAGTTATACTGACATATAATAGTAATTTCAAGCGTATCCATATAAATTTTGGTTTTATAATCGATTGTTATTAAATCTTATAATAGATATATAGAAGATAACTCACAATACTGAAACCAATTTAAATAACTTAACTTAAATTCAAACATTATTATTATTACGTTGAAGTTATTTGAGCCAGTGCACTTAAGCATTTTTACTCTTTCTTAACTCGAGGTATTTTCAAAACCCCTCTTTACGCCTTGACTGGATTATTCTTTATCACTTCATCAGACTAAGCAATAATTGACCTCAGATCTGCATACCTCCCCGAGGAGCCTGTAACCATTCTGAGATTTGATAGCGTGATGTTGGTAAGTCTGTCAGTTTTCGCAAATAATTTCGGGGCTCTATCCTTTATGTATTTTTTGATCGGATCAATCTTGAGGTCACTGAGGATGTCATTCGTCCTAATATACCATAGTACTTTGAAAAGTCTTCTCAGACCCTGACTTTTTGCAATTTCTAGCAGGCGAATAGTAGTGTTTGAGGCTTGCTAAACGCCACACAACCATATAGAAGTGACGGACTAATTATTTGGTTATACATCAGCTTCTTGTTTTTAGCATTGAGATTTTCATTTCTTAATATCGGTTGGAGGTGATGAAGAATTTTGGCACAGCTAATTCTTTTCAGTTGAACATGGATTCTAATTTAAGGACTTAAAAAATTTTTATATTTTTGTTTAAAAATTATTTTTCAATAATGACAGCATTTGTATGTTACATAGTTTTCAAGGATTGCATAAATAAACTTTGATGGTGTAATATATTGAATTGACCTAAATCAAATATAAAAGTATTGTTAATACGAAATAATTACTAACTATAATTGTAACTAAACAGACGACTATGATAATTCTCTAGTTTTATTTAAATTAAATAAGAATTAAAAGAAGTCTTCAAAATTTTAAAGCAAATTAAGTACTTAGTTCTATAAGCCTAAGTGCTAAATTCTAGTTCTAAGTTTAATAGTAAGTTTAATTCTAAATTCTAAGAATTAAGAATAACGTCTGTTACAAAGTATTATATTTATATCTTACAAATAGATACTTCTTAGTTAAGTTAAATGAAGTGACCACAACAATACATAAAGCATGAGTGACATGCTCTAAGATAATATTTAAAATTTCAAGCAAATTAAGTACTGAGTTCTCTAAGTTTAAGTTCTATGTTCTAGTTCTAAGTTTAATTCTAAGTTTTAAGAATTAAGAATAATGTTATGTATGTCTGTTACAAAGTATTATATTAATATCTTACAGATAGATACTTCTTAGTTACGTTAAATGAAGTGACCACAACAATACACAAAGCAAAAGTGGCATGCCTTAAGATAATGTTCAGATCTTGTCTTTCACTAGCAATATTCCGAAAGAGAAAATAGATAGTAAGACTGTTTATTTATCTTGGTTATCATAGTTAATGAGGTGCTTTTAAATGAATCTCTAAACCTTTAACTTTTAATAGTTTTTTGTATCAATTCTATGCAAAAATGAACCTTCCAAATTACACAAATTATAATGATACTGATATTAACAGAAGAAGTAGAATAATTTAACAGATTGTGCGTATCTCACCTTCAAGCTCACATGAACTCTGTCGTAACTTAGTTAGCACAAACTTAAGAAAGCTCGTTTCATTAGAAAAGATATCAGTCATATCTTATTGTTTTAAAGATATTTTAAATCCATTTAATGAAATAGTCGAAGAGGTAACAGCAGTAACTGATTTTCACTTAATATCCAAATTTTTTTTTTTAATCATAAGTATTGTTTAATGGCTTTGGACAGATTCAAAAAAATTGGAGCAAAAAATGTTTATATTGAATTTTTTTCAAGAACTTTTGTATCCTCTAAATCAGATACCATCGCGGGCCAATCGCAGGAATAAATACATAGGTTCATAATTGTTTTCGACAAAAATTAAATTATAGTTATGTTAAATTTGTTTTTATTAATTTATCAATTTAAATTAATTTATTTGGTATACCATAAAAATTAAATAATGTAGTTTTACAGTACACCAAAAGAAAATTTTCGTGATTATCGTAGATTAATAATATGTCGCAGGCCGCATAAACATCAGTCGCGACCCGCATATGGCCCGCGGGCCGTACTTTGAACAGCCCTGCTCTAAATAAATCGGAAAAAACAGTTTATATAGTTAATTTTTTTAGAACCTTTTTATTTTCTGTTGACTGAGCCTAATTTATCACATTCTGAAATAAAAATATTCATCAACACTGATTAATCTTGTTTAAGCAATGTAACCACCAATGAATTTTTTTTTTTTTTTTTGTAGGTTCTTGAATATTTTATTATATTTTTCAAGCTATCCTAATTTTCTAAATAATTCGTAATGTAGTAATTAAATTAAATGAAAAATAAAATTAATTATACTTATTTAGACACATTGTAAACAATTCGAGTGGATCCAAAATTATCCATAAAAAAAGGAATGAAACCTTTTTTTACTATTTTTCTTTTTTGTATTGCTTGGGCCGCTGTTGTCCTGTTGGCATTAACAATAGATTTCGAAGGATACATGTTGTTGTGTGTGTGTTCGCCATTTTGTTTTTATCGCTTGTTTACCACTTAATAAGCAAAGGAAATAAATGAATTAAAGCAAAGCCAATAATTTATCATTGCAGTTGCCCGCTGCCCGGTATTTATTATATTTTCCTGGTATTTTATTTTTTTTTACTTTTTGTTTTTTTTCGCATGAATTTGTTCCACAGCACACATAATAACAATAAAATTTTAATTGAAATTTATTACAGTACAGAGAGCAACAAAAACAAAGGAACCGGGTGAATGGAAATGAAAAAGCTTTAAACACAATTTTTTTTATTGAAGTTAATATAAAAACGCTGAAATATTTAAAACCAAAATTGAATTTGTGAAAGCTGTGAATTTTGCATACTGGCAAATTTGGAATTGTTTTGAAAAAATGCAAACTGTTGTCGATTACCATGGCAGCAACAATAGCATTGGTAATAGCAACAACAATAGTAATGGTAGCTCCACTACAACAACAACAACAACGACAACAATCGAAACAATTGGCACACATAGTGAAGTTGATTCCGGAAAAATTGATGCAACAAATGCGGTAGCATTAACTACACCACCAATTGTTGCTGCTGAAGACAATGAAGAGCCAAATATACTACGACAACGTATAACAGCAGCTAAATCGACAACAATTGCCACAGCAATAACAACAACGAATGCAACAATAACAACAACAACTACAACGAATTGCAGTTTACCAGATATGTTCACGCATAAAAATGGTAATGCATGTATGATTGATGTTGCTGAATATTTAGGCAGCAATATTATTAAAATGTCTGCAACGCCATCACCATCACCCGAAGGATCGCCCAAAGTTTCACTTACCAAAAAATGCCTCACTACACATATGATTCCAACGCTAACACCAGTCACTGCAACAACTACAACAATACCAGCAACAGCAACAGCAACAGCTGCAGTAAGAGCCACTGCAATAGTAACACAAGCCATCGAAACTAACACAATCATTACTGATACCAATAATATTAACAATAGTCCGACATCTTCCAATTCGAATTCGAACTCCAACTCGAACTCAAGCACATCTTCTGTGATTGCCACGCCTGTGCTAACACATAATGGCAAAGAGACTGATTGCGGTGTTGGCTTAAATAATATACGTCGTTCAACGGAACGTAACGAAATACTCGCAACAAAAGTACTTCCATTGTCATCAAAATCGAATACATTTGATGCATACGATAAAGCGGGCCATGATCTTACTGCTATTAGCACAAATAAGGAATTTTTTACACCCATCTCACCGTCACCCTTATCCTCAACGAATTCAGCAGCAACACCAAGTTCACCAGCCTCATCAACCACCACAAGCGTATCATCATCGTCTTCAGTTAACTCCTCAACTGTGGCTGTCTCCAGTGCAACTATAAACTCCAAAGTCAATAAAACTATTGATGAGGAATTATTGCACTGGAATGATATGCCACAATATTTACAATTTAATCCATACGTACTCAAGGGTTACCGTCCATTACAAACGTTCAAGGGTTGTCTATTCAGTTTATTCTATTGGCACAACGAAACTATCAACATATTAACTCATGGTAAGTTAATAATGTATAGTAATATAAATGTATATATATTTTATAAGATTTAGTAACATTTTTCTCGCATAAAGCCTTAAAAGAAATGAACTAAGTCCAACCCGTAGAATTTAGGTAATTAAGTATAACTTTCGTCCTTACCGATAAACAGATATACAGTCCAACAAGCTATTAAATAATTACTTCCCTAAAAACCTCTTTCTTCTGGAATCAAACCTGAGTAGCCAAAGAGACAATTGCTTCTTTTTCCTATAAGTTTCTACAATTTCTTCAGTTAGTTTTATAAGCATTGCCCGGTTTCTCTTCGTGTTCTCTTATACACCAGTTACTGGAGAGTAGCAGAGAGAATAAGTTCCCAAGACTTAAAATATGAAGGTTAGGTTTACCTTCCCATGACTTAAGTATCTTCTATTAATTTTTGATAAACTGAAGAAAGTAAAAGTAAATAATTCTCTTGGCGATCCTCTCGAAAGCATAAATCGGTACACCCTATATTCTTCTTTTCATGCCTCATAGGTTGCTGTAAACCAATAATGTAAACCAGTAATATAATTATAAATATTAAGGTATATATTTTCGTGACAAGATGTACCGTATAAATAAATAAAACCGTATAAATAGTTTGATAATACTATACTAAGAGCTAATACTAATAATATATATTTAAAAAATACTTTCTACACACTTTGCAAACATCTTAACTTAATTTATTTAAATTGGATTATCATTCCATGGATTTTATCGTGTAACTATCGATAATCGATTATTTTACAAGACGCAACAATTTGCCAACAAAGAGTTCGTTGTCAGCAGTGTCACTTAAACGTGACAAGGTAAAATTAAAAAAAGAAATATTTTTAATATATATATATCTATATATATATATATGTAAACTGTTAAGTTAAAGAATGTAAAAATATTAAAAGTGAAAAAACCTAAATGAAAGAATCAATGTTTCTGTTTGACAGTGGCAATGTCAATGGCAATATTAACATTCACTAAAGAAATAAGAAATGCCACATAAATAGTTCAAATTAATTTCAATAATAAAAATATGTAAAAAATATAACATTTTCTAAAAATAGTCAAAAATGATATTATGATATATTGCATCGTGGGTGCTTATATCATATATTTTTACATATGTCAAAAAGCACTCACCTAAATAATATTAAATACATTAATGAGTTTCGTTAGAAATATATATTTTTTTAATGGAATATTTATTTTTTCAAAATGACATTATTATTTTTCAAAGTGACATTATTAACCAATGACATGGTTAATGACAGTAGCCATGTAATAATGACAATTCTTACTTAATCAATTCCTATAATATATTGAGTTATTGCTTCTCAGTTAAGAATAGGAATAGTTTTTGATAACATGAGATCACTCAGCCGCCTAGAAAAATATTATATTGTGTACCTTTATTTAATATAATGAATATAATATAATAAAGAAATGGTTACCTTTTTACGGCAGTCCTGAATAGGAAAGTATTGGGACTCACATAGACAAATAACCTGTTTTGATACTATTGTAGAATTAACTTTATCTGCTCAATCAGCTGAGTAAGCTATCTGCTAGTAATAATAAACATTACTTGTGTTACTAGGTCAACTATTCTCAGCACTGCTACTTTGGTGATGTATAACTCTCCTAAAGAGTGAACTCTTTGTCTGCATATAGCTACACAGTGACACATTAAATGTTCAATTTACTCTTTAACACCATCATTCTGATGCTTTTCTAAAAGTATCCATGGAATGTGCCCAATCTAGTCGCAAGCATATTTGTTAAGATGAACTTTAACATACTGACGAGTTGACAGATCTACTTAGTAGATTTATTCCATCAGCTTTAATCTTCTAATCACTCCCTATGTTTGCATTATTTTTTTCTTAAAACACATTTCAAGATGGACACAATCTCTAATATTAACTAATATTTTTCTGGGATAGTAGTGTTGTAACTTGTGAATGTATATAATTGCGATACTATTTCTTATTCATATTATTACACAATTTAAATGGACATTATTTGCGTCATTTATTTCATTCAGAAATTAACTTCAAATCTATAGTGCAAGAATCCTCTTTATGCAGACAAATCTTCAACTCTCAACTCTTTGAAACAACATAACGAAGATTATTCAAATTTTAACTAAGATATCGTTTGGCTCTAGTGTTGGAAGATATTTCGTAAAAAAGATGAAAATTATGGTGTATTTCATACCAACTGACAACGTTCAAAAAATCTTCTGAAATGAAAATTCGATTAAAATCCCAATGCGAAGTGTGTTTTATTTATGTTTACTTCAGGAATTAGATAATTCTGGATAATTCTGTATTATAGTAATATAGGGTTGACTTTAATTCGCACTATACACATTTTCTACTTCAATTTTCATGGGCTCCATAAAATTGATTTAATTTTACAGAAAAAGTGATAATTATTTAAAAGCATTTTCTTCTAATTTAATTTAGATTAATTCAATAAATATTAACATAATTTTATTTACATTTATATTTATATTTACACTTCTATTTTATATAAATTGAAATATTATTAAATTTTCTAATAAATTGCACATTTATTTGACGGATGCATCTGAGAATCTAGTTCACAGTTGAATTCCTTCGAGAATTCTACCATATTTGAAAGTGGTCCAATTACTCTAAACATTGAAGGCACATGTGAGTCTGTTGATGTCTGCAAATCTCTTATTTTTGGATGACTATCACTACACCACAATTGTGCATATGTTATAAAAAATAATTGTTTACTTGTATAATTTAATGTCGGTAATGTTTCAAATTCTAAATTTTGCCCAGAGCGCACTGCATCCTCATACCAATTCAAATAAGCTTCATATGCTAAACGTATTCCGCCATTGTCAGCAATATTTTCAGACTGTGCAGTACTTTCTGGTAGGTAACGTCCACCGTATATGTATTTACTGTATTGATTAGAGAAGCATTTAGTTTTTGCCGTGAATATTTTTGTAGATAGTTCATCCCACCAATCTCTACTATTTCCATCCTTGTCATATCTTCGACCTGTGTCATCAAAACCATGTACCATCTCATGACCAACTAACGTGCCCAAAGTTCCAAATTTTAAAGCATTTGGATAAATGGCAGCCCATAGATAATAAGGCTGTAATAGTGATACTGGCACTTTTATTGTGTTTTCAATAATAATATTTGCAGGGGTATATGAAAGTAATTCGCCTGCTTCCATTGGTTTTGGTGGTTCACGTAATTTAATAAGTAATTGAGAGGCACTCCAATTTAACATATTCTTAATATTTTCAACATAATCCTCACCATTAATTGTCAAGTTGGCAAACTCCTTGGCGAAGTCGTCTTTAGTATAAGAGTTGATTTCCAATTTCATTGCATCAAGTTTCTCAATAGCTGACTTTCTAGTATCGAGATCAATCCAACTTAGTTCTGTAGATAATAATTTTGATCTATAAATGTTTTTTAGTTTATTCCATACTAGTTTAACATCCATTTCTGTTGTTTTGGTATTATATTTTCTATAAATCATATTATCCAATACCTTCGCAAAATGTGACTTAGTCTTGGCTATACACAAAACTTCTTGACTAGCTCTCGTTTTAGAAATTTCTAACTGAAAATCAGTAAGTAAATTATAGAAAATATAATTAGCCACAACACGCTTTGGTGTTCTTATTATAACACCTTTCAGATTGTCTTGATAGTCTGGTATGAATTCATAAATAGTTTCATTAAAATCAGCTCCGATCCTTATATCAAAAAAACGACGTATATCAATATCTGGAGAATATTTCTTTTGCATTTCGTCAATTGTAGTTAAGTGTGTCATCTCATCTAATCCTAAACCCAATTTCTCATCTATCATACCACTGGCCAAAGAAATTTCAAAGTCCATTATATCTGCTGCTGTTTCTTTTGCCACTATTTCACTTATGCCCAAATAACGTATTAAGTTTTTAGCTATTTTTATTTTATAACGCTCCCGGTAAATTTCCGTAATATTATCTAAGTACATTGAACGACTCTCTAATGGAAAAGTTGATTGTCCAAAATAAACGCGGTTTTCTGAATTTTTAACAAAATCTGCCATCACGTCAATACTTAGAATTATATCTTTACCATATTTTGAACCAATTTTTGCCACTGTCTCCAACCAATTGAAGTTCTCCTCCTGCCATTTATCACCAACCAATGCTGGCATTTCACCGAACTCCGCAATTATTTCCTTCAATTTTGTTCTGTATCCTGACTGTAGTTGACCAATGTTTGTGCAGGATTCATAGAAATTCTTAACTTTGATATCTGTTTCCGTATCGTTGTACTGCACTCCCGATTTTAGTATTAATGCTAGTTTGCGGTCCAAAGCTAATGTTATCGACTCAAAAAAGCCAGTCGTTACATGTTCAAAAGAGTTTGCTGGATTTATTTTCAACCAATTGCCACATGCAAAATTGTAAAAGTCATCGCATGGATCGATGCTTGTGTTCATGTAGTTATGCATTTCGGCCGCTTTGGAACGGCGCATGATGTCACGTACATATGGAGAATTTATCTGATCAACTGGCTTAATGACATCTGATTTATGCGCAATTGGCGTGGTTGCAATCCGTGACACTAAAGTGAAAAGTACCACAATTGCGACAATATATATATTCATTTTTGTTAATTAAAATTATTTTTTTAATTTACGAAAATTTTGTTGTTTAACAGACGAATACCAAAGCATGACTGTTCTGAGTGAGTAGTGATAATAGCTAAATAGCTAAATAGGGAGAGTTATATATTGCAATAATTAAAAATCCAAACAAATGAATTAAATCTTTTCAAAATGGTCAGAAGTTTATCAACACTAGAGGAAGTCCACACTTGTTGACTAAAATTACTCTCTTTTTTAAGCAGAATTCTAATTTATTAAAACGTTTTTTACTTTTTTAAAAGATTACAAAGATATAGAATCACCATTTAATGATAAATAAAAAAGAAAATATATGAAACTATCTCCTGAAATTGAGCGCAGTGGTCAACTGCCACAGTGCCTTAGTTGCATCCTACCCTAGACACAAGAGATAAAAGGATGTCTCTACACAATGTTCTTACATTCGCATTGCCGGAAGTTAGAATAGCTTATTTTATTTTAAGTACTTAAAATTTCGTTTTGGTTTTATCAACAATGATCAACTAACCTATAATCAAGAGAAAAAACACACATAGATCTTATAATCAACCTGAACAAAGATGATCAATGATCAACTAGCCTATAATCAAGAGAAAAAACACACATAGGTCTTAAAATCAATCTGAACAAAGAAATTGTGCAATCACATATTTCTGCTTTTTTTTTCCTGAGACCTATCCGAACGAAATTTTTCGGATGACATATGTTTCGTCACTTCAATCTTCTCTTTACCAAGTAGAACTTTGTTCCTCAACATATTAAGGCTTTGCCTTATTAATTACTTATATTTGTCGCCTATTATAGTTTTTCATTTGTGTTTTGCTGCTCTTAAAAAATAATTACGAATATACTTTTGAGCACATTTTATTGAGAGCATTATTTATTCCTTTACTGAGGATATCTCTGATTTTTGTCTAGCTAATTCATCCGAAATTTTATTTACTTGTATTCTTCATTCCCTGGAGTCTAGAACAATGATATTGTGTACTGGTTACTTACTGACCTCAGCTAAGTTTTGTTTAGCTTTACTAGCTTTTAATCTGCTGATTCTGTGGATTATTTTCCAGAATGAGTCTTCCTCTCTCTTTGGTAGGTGAACTATATAAATTATTTATAAATATATAAATATAATCATTATCTTCATCCTTCGCAGTGTTGGTTTCCTACAAAATGTCTCTAATTTTCTCTATATTTTAGGGCTTTGCTTCAATTTTTAATATTGTGTCTCTACAGATCAAGGTACTAAACTTGTACGTTTTTGTGAATATAACTTATATAGGCATATTTATATAACAAGCTGCTCCTATATTTATTATGGCAAGGTAACCCATGCGAGATTCACTCGTTGGGTTAGGAACAATTCTTTTTATTTAGTTACTCGTATTGACCTATATGTATGAAATGGATGTATATATAATAATATAAAGTCTACTTTACTTATATGAAATAAACATGTAGTAATAAATTCTCTTCGCTTCTGTAGAGTAAGTTTCATTTATAATCTAAACAATTATTTTAATATAATAAATAAATATCTCAAACAAGATTATCAATTAAAAGTAAAAAATCAACTGAAAAATACAAAATTAATTTTCACTATGTCAACACAACGGTTCGGTCTCTTCTCAAACTCGCACTAGATCGTTTACAGCATGAAGAGTGAAGCACTCGTAATTATCGTTGGACTTGATAACATTTGAACCTACCCATCGCATAAACTGAGTGAAAAACTCATGAAAAATATAGATAGGGGCGAGTGGCAAACAGTTTCGTTTGTGTAGTCAAACGCTAAAGAGGCGAGCTGATAAGATAAGCAAAAACCATTTAAAGTCTACGGTCTACAAATATTGAAACTTTTGCTAAAAATTTCAAGCGGAATGTTGCGCTTTGGAAACTCTTGCAGAAGTTGGACTGGTGTTACTTTTGTAGTTGCCATCACATTTGTGCAGCAATTGCAATTGTTGTTGGCATATCACATCTCTTCTACGCGAGTGGATTTACATGAGCACAAGATTTCATCAAATAATGACACGGCATATGTGCGGGAAATAATGCGTTTGGCTAAAGCGGCAGAAATGGGAAACTACATGAAACCGGAAGTTGATGCTTGTGATGACTTCTTTGCATATGCTTGTGGCAACTGGGCTAAGATAAATCCAGCTGGTTTTGTCATACCTCGTCAAACGAATTTCTTTCAGTTGCTTACCAAATCCTATAATCAGAAACAGTTGAAAATATTACAGGAAGCCGAGCAGAAGAGTGACAGTGAGCCGATTAAGATAGTAAAGCGATTCTTTAACGCTTGCATGAACTTACCAAATCCAAAGGAGAAACGTCAGTATGAATTTAAGCTTAGGCAGATATTACAGGATTTTGGTGAAATGCCAGCACTTTGGCCGGATGGTGCTTGGGCAGCAAGTGACTTTAATTGGCAACGCACAATAGCACAAATACAAAAAAAATATGGACTTGACATATTGCTAAGCATTTATATACGCCCAGATTTTACTAATAAAACCATAAACAAATTATTCCTAAGGCAGCCAGCATTTCGTTTGCAAACAGAAAGTATGTACACATCAGAAACCACCAAGTTTCATCGGGAAAATTATAAGCAAGAAATAAAAAATAATTTAATTATACAATTAAAAGTAGAAGAGGAGAAAGCAGAGCGTGTCGCAGCGGAAATTTTAGAAATTGAAACAGCTTTGGCTGCTGGTATTTTAGATAGAAAGCTGGGCAAGACGTTTAAGTCAATGACGACATTGCGCACTCTGTCTGAGCTCAATGAGGCATACAACAACACTTTTGATTTCAAGCAATTTATTGAAACATCTTTGAATCAAACATTCAATGACACACTGTACGAATACATGCCAGCATATCAAGAGAATCTCTTCGAGGTTGTGCGGAGCACCACACCGGAGCGATTAGCTAATTACATCATGTATCAGTTAATACACAATTTCCTAATGAAAACAAATGAAAAGGTTGCGGTGAGGGAAGGCAAGTGCTTTGAAAAAACTAAATTTTTTTTCACCAAAATTTTGGATAATACCATCTTTCACAAATACAATAGCAAAAACACAATCAATGATATTAACCTGATTTGGTCACAAATAAAAACAATATTCAAAGCTGAACTTGAATCGGAAAAGCTCGGTTGGATTTCATTGATGACACGCAAACTGGCGTTGGAAAAACTAGACGCAATGAAATTGGAAATTAATTCGTATGAAAACATTAACTTGACGGAAGAATACGCAACACTGAATATCGATAGTAATGATTATGTAGAAAATGTTGAGCAACTGTTAATATTTCATTCAAAACGCGTTGTGAAAAGTTTGCATGAAATTGGTAAACCATTTGAATCGCCCCAAATACTCTCATTCTCGTCGGCCTACATTGCCACGCATAATATTATTAAAATACCAGTTTCACTATTGCAACCCAATTATCTCTGGTCTGATCATTATCCGCAAGCGTTAAAATTCGGCACGCTTGGATACTTAGTGGCACACGAACTGATTCACGGTTTCGATGATATGGGACGAAATTTTGATGTGAACGGCAATGAAATAGGCTGGTGGGATGCCAACTCAACCGAAGCATTCAATGAACGCAAGGCATGCTTCAAGGATCAATATGCACGTTATCGTTATGGTGGGAAATATTTGCCTGAGAATGAATTACAAGCAGAAAACATAGCTGACAATGGAGCTGTGAAAATAGCCTTTAGTGCCTACACGAATTGGTTGACAAGCGCATTTGACAATGTGCCGCAGGACATGGTAGAACCTGAAATAGAATTACTGCCGAATATGAATTACACAAACAAACAATTGTTTTTTATAAGTTTTGCACAATTCTGGTGCAATGATGTCAATAAATTGCTTAAGGATGAAGAGCCACTTGTGGATGTACATGCACCAGCCATGTTTCGTGTGATTGGTTCACTGGCCAATTTTGCAGAATTTTCAAATGAATTTCATTGTGGACAAGGTACAACAATGAATCCTGAAAATAGATGTGAAATTTATTAGCAATGCTAAGGTGAGGGACATTGAAGTCAGCATTTAAGATGTGTAAGGATAGAAAGTATTGTCACATTTAATCTTTAAAATTTTTTATGTAAAATATTCATTAATAATTTTTTATCGATATAAACACGTCTGTTAACAAATAAGTTATATGTAAGCTTTAAATACACCTAGTTTTTATTTTCAATTAATAGTAAGCATACTTAAATATTTCTATTAGCTCATAAATTTTAATTATTATTAATTTTTATTATTTAATTATTATTATTTTAATAAAACTAAATTGCTTAGAAAAACATTTTTATTTTTAAAAAATAAAAAAAATTTTGTTATTGTAGTTTACTACTTTTTGAAACCTCTCTAATAAAATAAAATAGTTTCTATTAAGTAAAAATAGTCGCTAACGTCAAAACTGTTATCAAATTACAATATATTGGGTTAGGTTAGGTTATACCGGCGATCCCAAGAGATTCAGAGAGGCCCATTGTGTTACCGTATAATTAAAAAGTGAGTTAGAACTACTTAGAACCTTTAGCCAAGCTTCTATTCAGAGGAGGGACACAACTTATTACATGAAAAATATTACAGTTTTTTACATATTATAAATATAATTTATTTATATTATATATTACACAGCATATATTTTAAATTTAAAATGTAATGCTTTTTAAAAAAATGTTAATATTTTAATCAATTTTCTTGAACTCCTTAAATGATATATAGTAAAAACATCCAAAGTTTCCATACCAGGTCTACCGGTTTTTGATGGATTACCAAAAATACGTATCACATATCATATTGGCATGATCGCATTTTTGATTTTTAGTACATTTTAAAAAAATGTTAATAATTGATATTATTTTTGTCTTTAATGCATCAAAACTTTCCACCAAAAGTTCTCCAGTTTCTAATAGATCATTAAAAAACATGTACTGTATTTTTGTGAAGAAAAACACAGATTTGTCTAAATGAACTATATGCACATCTCTATTCAATCAATGTATTCAAATAAATCATTTGGATAGGTGTTAGTAGTTCATAATGGCTGATACTCTTGCAGTTACACTAAACACTCAGCATCATCTTCCTTATCGTAAATCTATGCTCTACCTTCACTTGTGAACATTCAACTATTTTAAATCAGACTGTTTTTATATAATATTATTTTATGGGATTCACTTGTCATCAGCTCTTTCTATATATGTTAAAAATCACTCGTCTCCGTAACCTTTCAACAGTGATTTCCAGATAAATCAATTATGAAACACACAAGCCTTGAGCTCCTTCTTGTCACCTTCTTGTTTGCTTAAATGGTTTAAACCAAAAGTGATCTTAAAAGATTAATATTAATTACTGCTGGGATTATGTGAGTACTGACATACCGGTGTTCTTTAAACTCATTGATAACATAGATTTTATCATTGTTATGTCTGCAACGGGATTGTACTGATAAGCAACCCTTCAAGGACTGAAGCACCTACTCTCATACATATGTATATTTATTATTAATGTATCATAATTGTTCAATACGATAACAATTTTTTTAAGAAATCGGTCGAGCAATTAACATCCACACCTTGAACCTCAAAAACTATTTGCCATTCCTGTTTTGAATTCTTTCATTTATCATATTAACATCAGAAAATATATTAACTTTTTGTCGTAATTTTAGTCAACACTACTTTGTAATAGCTTTCAATACGAAATATCAATGTAAATAAAATACTTAGTAGTATACATCAAACCTGTCAACTGTCCAACAGTGATAAATAATGACAGCTGCAATTAACCTTTCCAAAATTATTGCATTTTAAAGTTAAATGAAAAGAAAAACGCCGAAAACTTTTTGTACAAATCTATAGCTTGTTACACAAACCAAATATCTATATAAAATGTATCCTAATAATCAAATGATCTGTCATCTATCAAATAGAGATGAAAATGGATTATTGCAATTAACCATTTTAAAATTATTGCATTATAAAGCTTAACGAACAGAAAAACGTCGAAAACTTTTTGTCCAAGCCCATAACTTGTTAACACAAAAAATTAATTTAAATAAAATTTATACCAATAATTAAGTAATTCTGAGCTCAATCATTTGTCACACAAAATAGGAATTGATAGACATAATTAAATACTTAGAAGTTATTGGATATCAATGCTAAAAGTATAGAAAAACGCCTAATACTTTTTGTACAAGCTCATAACTTGATGACACAAAACACCAATCTTAAACAAATTTATACAAAAAATAAAAAATTATGTCATCTATCACAAAAAGTCAGAATTAACAGATACAAGATTTCAGATACTATTTCAAAGTTATAACATTTCGTAGTTTAACAGACAGAAAAAAACATCGAATACTTTTTGAATCTAACTATATATGTATATATGGTAGGAATGAAGTGTCAACGTAAACTACAATCAAACTATTATAAAAATTTTAAATAAAATATAATTTTTATTTTATTTTTAAATTATGTTCATATATACAAATATATAAAGAGCTTTCTTCAAACGTAGTGAAATAAAACAACAAAAATCGAAGATTTTATATTATTTTAATTAATTTAATTTTTGGCTGACCATACAGCTGTTTCGAGTATTGCCAAATACCCATCATCAGTGGTCTTGGAAATAATTCTAGTATTTAATTATTCGTAAATAATTATTTTTTGAGACTGCAAGTACCAGGAATCGCACTCGGGTCCTGCCAAATGTGAAGCTCAGAATCAGCGCACCTTAACCAACTGATCCAAAGCCGTTCTTGACTTTTTTGTTCGCATATTTTTCTGAAGTTTTGTTACTATTACTATGAAAGTTTTTATTAACAATATTACTTGCTGTGTTTATATTAGAACAAATATATAAAATACTTGACTGTTCTTTAAACTTGGTTATGAAAACTTTCTATTAAAGAAAAAATTTCGAAGATTGCAAACTCTTAACGGGTTGAATAAAAAATATATCTATCCCGCTATAGTTTGTTTAAATTTTCCTTTGTTTTGTTTTTTTTTTTTATAAATTAGTTTAAATTATTGTATAAAATTTGCTCAATTGTTTGTTTACTTTTGTCTGCTCACGCTTTTTGAGAATTTAGAAACTTTTTCATGCTTCCTGCTAGGATTAAGGAAATACATCAAAATTCATGAGATTTATTTACTTTCCTCCTCTAAAATGAACTATTGTATTTGAACTTCTTATATGCAAATTCATAAAAACTTTAGTGTAAATTGAATTCCAGAAAAATAAATTTTACAAAGAGGATTGTGGTAAATAACAAAATTTAAAAAAGTGTAACATTTGATAAATAATACTTAATACTTTTTATTCTAAACTTTTTTGGCAGATATTTTTCTTATCGAAAATATTTAAATAACGATAAACTGCAGTCAGTTAATATTTGATAATATTTTAAGCAGTTCGGAGATTTTTAGTTAAACTACTTATAACTTCAACAAACACTATATAAAAATTGTTACAAAAAAAAGTGAAGTATAATAGCACTTAACTAGATACTACCTCCCAATGGATTGGAGCTTTCAGATCATGGTTTGCATTTTGTGTTACAAAATGAGCTTAACTGGGAGGGAAGTAAAATAAAATAATATTAAAATAGAATAAAATAGATATATAACTGGGTAAGGACTCCAACAGATTGGAGCTTTCCGATCATGGTTTGCATTTTGTGTTACAAAATGTACCTAACCCAAGGGAAGAAAAATAAAATAATATTAAAATAGAATAAAATAGATATATAACTGGGTAATGGCTCCAACAGATTGGAGCTTTCCGATCATGGTTTGCATTTTGTGTTACAAAGTGCGCCTAACTGGAGGGAAGTAAAATAAAATAATATTAAATTAGAATAAAATAGATATATAACTGGGTAAGGGCTCCAACAGATTGGAGCTTTCCGATCATGGTTTGCATTTTGTGTTACAAAGTGCGCCTAACTAGAGAGAAGTAAAATAAAATAATATTAAAATAGAATAAAATAGATATATAACTGGGTAATGGCTCCCAACGAATCGGAGTTCTGTGATTATAGTATATCATTTTTATGTGTGTTGTGAACATAACTAAATATAGACTCTCAACACTACTTTTAATGACTAATATGTCTCTTATTATGAATTATTTTGTATTAGGAACGGGGATAGAAGCTCCTGATCTAGTATTCACGTTCTGGTCCAACTAAACGGTGGAAAGTAACAGATAATATTTTTAAAATCCTAAACTGCTTTTAAGTATAGTCAACATTTTGTCACTAAGTTTTTTTTTTTAAATAAATAAATACTTATACATTTATTTATTGTATCTTCTCTTACAATGAGACTAAAAATAAGTTTTAAAATTTTATCACTAATTACATAATATTACAATTTTTTTTTAACTATACATTGTATAAAATAAATTAAAATAAATTAAAATAAAATAAAAGAAAATAAAACAAGTTAACCTTATATCACGAATCTCATTTAGATCGATGGGTTAAATTACTTTGGAGTGAATGTTAGGTGGTTTATTAAGAATGCAGCCCAACTTTATCAGATTATTAAAAACAAAGGATCAGTTTTTACGTCAAGCTGTTGAATATTAATTAATGGCTGAACGGTCAGCTCTTTTTAGGCGGGAAGTATAGAATTGCGAGATTCCTTGCTAAGGGGTTAACATGTTCTGTCAGCCTTTTATTGTATTATATTTTTATATTTTCAAATTTAGCTTTAACTAGGGGAATTTGTAGATCTCGGTGAATACTTTCATACCTAATATACCATGAGGCACCAGTGATTGTTCTTAGTAGTTTTGACTGAGCTCTTTGGATAATTTCAATATCTGAAGCACTAGCATTACCAAATAGCTGGATACTATAAGTCCATATTGCTTTTATAATGTTATTGTCTCTATGTGATAATAAATGATGAGTGATATTTCTGTCTTTTAAGACTTTAATGATGTACTAAGTTTTTGTATCCCTAATTTCGACCATGTCAAGAAAAATAAATTACTTATTTATACTTTAATAAAACAAAGTATTTCGTTTTAAGTTATAAGGGAGAGAAGAAAAGGAAATTTTTTTCTTTAAGAAAGTTAAGAAATATGCAAAATTTTGCATAATAAGTCAATAATTAATTTCTTGTTTTTTGTAGTTAAATTAAAAAATTTAATGAATATTTAATGTTTTTAATATCTCATTTCT